GAGGGCTTGTCAGAGACGACCGACGGTACAACAGGCACCGTGATGGCGATGAAAGAAATGCGCCTGGAGCTTGACGACGCCAAATTCACAACCATTCTGAAGGAGCTCGTCATCTTACACGAGTGTGTTTCTCCGTATATCATCGAATTTTACGGTGCCTTCTTCCAGGAGGGTGCTGTTTACATGTGCATTGAGTATATGGACGGCGGGTCCATCGATAAGCTGTATAATGGTGGAATTCCGGAGAATGTTCTTCGAAAAATCACATATTCTACCGTGATGGGACTAAAATCACTGAAGGAGGAACACAGCATTATCCATCGCGACGTCAAACCAACAAACATCTTGGTCAATACACGAGGCCAGGTCAAGATTTGCGATTTTGGTGTCAGTGGTAATCTGGTAGCTAGTATAGCGCGAACCAACATCGGCTGCCAGAGCTATATGGCCCCCGAGAGGATCTCTGGTGGCGGATTCGCACAAGCCGGTAACTCCGATGGCTCATACAGCGTTCAAAGCGATGTCTGGAGTTTGGGCCTGACCATCATCGAGTGTGCTAAAGGCGCTTATCCTTACCCACCGGAGGTCTCTTCTACTATTTTCAGCCAACTGAGTGTAAGCGCTCCTTCTTTTAAGTTAAGCCAGTCACAGGTTACTAACATGCTACAGGCTATTGTTGAAGGTGAACCACCTGCAATGCCAGAGGACACTTACTCGGAAATGGCTAAGGATTTCGTGAAGAGCTGTCTTCACAAGATTCCTATGAAGCGGCCAACCTATGCCATGCTATTGAAACATCCGTGGCTCGTCGAATTTACAAAGCCTCAAACAATTACGGAAGAAGCTGAGGAGGGTGACGGAGTTGATACGGTCGCGGAAGCTGTTGGTAAAATTAATTTGAACTCATCAACTGCAGATGCTGAAGTGGCAGCTTGGGTCAATGGCGTTCTACAACGAGAGAAAGATGGCCTGAAGGAGGACGGGCTCTTGAAACCAGCACTACACAATGCACCGCTTGATAGCGTCAGTCCTATGTCAAGCCCAAAGGATGCATAAAAGCTTGAAAAGCCGGGGTGGCACTCGGCCATCTAGGAAGCATGCCAACAGAGCAGGTATCTAGTTGGCTACAGGACTATGGATAACAAGCATCTGCTCAACTGATGCGACGGCTCTTTCCAAGGTGTCGACCTTTCATCATCAGCAGTAACACAGCACAAAGCCCCAAGGCATCAGCATGTGTTACTTGCATCATTTTGACCTTCTTTTTCTGCATTTTTTGGAGGACACTCCTGTACACGCTTTAGGGTGGGTTTAGACAAATTCGGGCCGGATTTTGGCATTTGTTTTTCGTAAGAACAAAACTGGGCGAATGGACCAAGTTGGAAAACGAACCAGGATAGCATGTTGTTGTTTTCATTTCATGTACTCGAACGAAAGGGACAGCGGCGAACAACACAGGATAAAAGAGAGGGCTTTGGAGGTGACTTCAGGCTTCAATCGTTTGACGAGAGTTAGGGTAGGGTGTGATATGCACTTCATGGTTCGGCGAATGGACGAATAACGTCAATGGGTGCATGCATAATGATTTGAAGTTATGATATCCGGTACCTCGTGAACTATGCAACGACACCTTGCCCTATCCTCGCTGCGATAATAAGTACTGTTGTGTGACGCCATGAAGTTCAGGGTTGTTAGCTGATAATGTCTACACAATATCTGGTGGAAATATCGGGAAACAGGAACTAGAGTATTAAAACTTAAAAGACGCTTGCATTGTTGTAATATCGTACATTCATAATAACTATTAGACAGTTGATGAAAGCAAGCTTCTTGTAGATCCCGCCCTTACTTCAACATTACGTTTAGAGAAAATCAATTCTCCTCGCCAAACACATCATGAAAACAAATCTGCTCAGTAGAACAGATCATGGATGGTGAATCAAATATAGACGCGACAAAATTCCAGCATCGCGTGCGAAAAACCATTGAGGTATCGTGGATACGATCACTGCGGCAGTTAATGCTCATCCCTCATCGAGCTCTGCCGAAATTTGGAGAATCACTGGGACTTGGCCTAGCAGACAGCTGCCGGGTCAAAGTTTAGGAATAGTCATCCTTAACACGGCGGCCCTCATAGCCTCCGCCGTGGCTGCTGCGGACGCTTCGTCTACGGCGCCATGAGCGGCCGCTGTAACCTCCACTTGACGACTTGTCACCGCGCATGCCTAAGCAGAAGAGAATGGTAGCAATGAGCAAAGTGGCCCATGATGCCCACGCAAAACCAAAGGCATAGCGGCCAATGGAGGCCGATCGGCCGTCTCGGTGAAAGGCATTGCGAGCGAGAACCCAGGTAGCACTAACGAGAGATGTCAGTAAACAGCTATAGCATCATACAGGGGCCAGAGTTACATACGTCATCAGGGACATTGCGACTGAGGAGCAGAACAGGGCGAACATGGACATGATGCTAGAGATTCCAGCACCAAGACGACCACAGCAGGCAATGAAGCCAGTGAAGAAGGCGAGGGTCTCGAAGAAAAGAGTAATCAGAATGAAGACCCAGCCAAACCGCCACAAGAAGAACTGCCTGTTAGATGTGGTGTCGCCAGCACGGCCACCGACAAGCGAGCTGGGCGCATTACGTGGGTTTGAGTCCCAGGCGCGACCGATGACGGGGGCAGCGCGGGCGCCATCGCAATCGTTGTTGCCGGCACCGCAAATGTAGAAGAAGTTCCATTGCGTGACTTCACGGGCACCCGAGATACCGCCAGTGTCGGCGCGGAGGAAATACGTCTTGTCGAATGGCGTGGTAGAGGTCAAGCCTGAGAGGATGATGAACCAGAGGAAGAGGAGGGAAACAGCGAGGAGGACCAGGCCAGCGAGGCCAAGAGGAGCGTCTGCGACAGGTCAGCCAGTTGTCCGTTGGAAAAGCCATACAACTAAGTCAGGAGAGAGAGAACTTACTCTTCGCCATGGCTATATGCCGTCGGCAAGTATACTATTCTCCAGCTGAACAGTATCTGGCCACGATCGATCAAAATCAAGCGTTGCTGCAAGCACTTCTGCCCAAAAAATCGAACTCGAAAGGATTAATTTACTGCGATGGAGCCCCGGGGATTGGATGTCGTCACGCTGCCAGGATCACCGTCAAGGAAAATGCTGCAGCTAAAAAGACGGCTAGTGAAATCTTGCGTCTTATTTGGTACCTCTCGACAAGGGTTCAGAGTTTGCTTGCGCTGTAGAGAACAGGCGTCTGGGATTGTTGAGAGATGGCGATGGATCTTATAAAAGTAGGAAGAGGGAGCCGGAAGGGAAGTAAGCCCGGGCTGGAGAGATTGACGATCCTTATAAACCTTGTTCATTAGCTCTGGGAAGGTTTCTTGTTTTTGTTTCTGGAGCCTTTTCCTTAGCGTCTAGGGGTGATGTGATGCTCGGGAGACGGACTGGCTTGTCGGTGTGGGGACCGGGAGATGTGTGTCTTAGTCGAATTGTACGACGGTGATTAGTATGTTTCTTCTCCCTTCGGTTGAGGAAAGACACGGAGTTCCCAGTGAGATAACTTAGGCACATGAATGACTTTGCAGAGGAGAGAGAGGAGGGGATTGTAGCCAGATGCATGAGGGCCGCATAACGACTTGTCACTTGAGAAGGGAACGCAGCCCAAATGAAATCACCATGGAGGCGTTACGTAGGTCGCCGTGGGCTGCCACCCTTGACGGGTGCTCGCCGCTCGCCCAGGCCCAGGGCACATTGATCCCGGCTGCAGCACTCTGAATCACACTAAAGTAAATCCTAGCGGAGGCACTGAATGCTCTGGAGTCTGGTGGGGTGGGCAGTAGATGATGCTTCCACCTTATTCCTACGGATCTAGCCTGGCAACCTTCGATGCCCGAAGCGACAGGAACTTGCTAGACTAGTGCATCTACCCAAGGTAGAGAAAAGTTCCGAGTGCACGACAGCTCAGTGATGACGACAGTGGGCGACGATGGACAAGAGATGCACCACAACATCTTGCCCAATGGAGCAAAGCCGTAGCAACCATTTTGTCCCTTTTGGGGTTTAGCGCACCACTTCCCTGATGTCATGAGACACAAGTGAATGATGCGACAGCGACATACGTCTACGAAAAGGCAGTGATTGTCGATGATGGATGGGGCGGTAGCTTTTGAGACTGCCAATGCTCGCCAAGCTACCAAAGATCGAGAGCTTGGTACTCGCTTGTGCTACGCTTTCTGACCTACAGTACTTTACCTTTAGTGTTGAGACATGGTCTTCGTCGAGTTGATTGAGTTGTTTTTCTCCGTATTACCAGCAGTTTCAGACGGGAGCTCCGACGAAAAGAACAGCTCTTACCCACTGACTGACTGGTGTTTTCAACTGATGAGCTCCATGGAGACACTTCAGCTCTCGGCTCTCCCAGGTATGGGTCTCAGACAACTACCTAAGCTAAGGTGAGGTAGTTACGGAGTCCCTAGTCTTGAGTTAGTTTATTAGTTTCAGCTGGCATTGTATACAAGTTATACAAGTATGTGCTCCAGTGTTACATACTGCCTGTCATTTGGCAGCCTGCTGTGTGTGGTTACTTTTGAAATTTTTCAACTGTCAAAGCCACAATCGCGAAGCTCAAACACTTCAACGTGCGCACAAGGTTTCTCTTCCATATCGAACAACAATTTAAAGTAGACTTCACATGCAAAGGTCAATTTCGAAATTAGACTCTCGGCGGCCTCCGTCCGTTGATCTTCGGCCCTGAGCTACCGACGTCACCACCGCCGGCTTTTCTGAGCCCCACGGGATCGTCCACCAGAAGGGTCACAAACTCACTTCCTACCAAGGCATATCGTGCATGCCTACGCCAGAGTTTGTTCGGAGGTTACCCCCGGTCTGTGATCTCGAACATACAGTACGACAAGCCAGATCGACCCCAATTGATCGTAGCTACTCTGCGGGCTCTGTAGTCGGCACCTTCGCCGAGGAATCTGCCTGGAAGCCGGACCACAATGCCGCTTGGCTTGCGGCTGAAGGCCATTCCGTCCTCCGCCATAAAATCCACTTCATTCCGTATCGGAGCCGGGACATCGGCCGGTCATGTCTTCTTCAGCCGATGGTCATCCACTTACGCCACTCCGACGTCAGAACTACCTTCACTCAACCTTCTCGTGCATCGACATCTCACAGGATCGGGTCCTGATGCTTTCGTCCCCTATGACACTGCCGACAATGAACAGGAAGAACTCCGCTCGTTGTTTCTCGAGTGGAAGAGTTTGAGCGAGGAACAACAACAAGACAGAGGCCACATACCCCGCCCTCATCTTCTTTCTTTTGAACCAACACCAACTCTCACGCTTGGGCGCCGACAGCGTCCCCTCACTTCCGAGCAAACCTCCTACTTCAAGTCTCCCCTCCACGTTGGTCTCCCTCATCGCCGTAACCCTGTCAATGATCAGAGCTTCATTCCCGAGGTCAAACAGACAAGCCGTGGTGGTTTGACGACCTACCATGGCCCTGGACAGCTTGTCTTGTGGCCTGTGCTAGACATGCACTCTCCCCTATATGCGCATTACTCAGTCATGTCATATGCGAACCATCTTGAAGCGACCACACGTCGTCTACTGGCATGTTTGTTCGGTTTAGAAACTTATACAACTCGAGATGAACCTGGAGTCTGGGTCCGTACCCCCGCCGGCCAACCAGAACGTAAAATCGCAGCAATTGGAGTTCATCATCGGAGACACGTCACAGCCCTTGGTATTGCTATCAACATCGACGTCTCGGTAGATGGTCCCGACGTTGTTAATCCTTGGGCTCGTTTTGTTCCTTGTGGCCTTGAAGGTAAGCTTGTCACCTCGGTGGCCGCCGAATTAGCAATGAAAGATGGTATTGTGCGACTTGGTGGCTGGAATACTGCCTCGCTAGCAGCCGTGTGGGCGAAGATATTCGAAGAAGGGATAGTAGATGATACAAAGAGAAGTATTGACGGCGAGGGGAGCTCCCAGTTCCGTCGAGCAGTCTCGTGATACCTGAGTCTAGTAAACTCAATCAATTCCAGCCGAGATATTCTGCTGTCAGGCCGTCACGAAATATCACTGGCTATACGAGTATTATGCGCCAATATATACTATATGTTTTAGGTTCGGGTACTTATATATATGAAGCTAAACGACTCAGGGGGCTCGTAGCCAGCTGTCCTCATTCTATCAAAGTCAATCTTTAAGACTATTGGTTTTTGAGTTGATTTTTACTTAATTTGTGAGCAGTGTTAGCAAATCATAAACAGCCCATCGATCGCAGACTCATAGGTACTGGTATCAAATCAGTGTATTCATTCACTGGTTTACTCGCTACTTGTTGTGTACTGATGGGGAACAGACCTGAGTCAGACGTGTTGGTGAAGTAGTACCCAAATAGTTGTCTTGAGAATCCTTTCTGCACCGATGCTGTAGATGGCCTTGGATTTTGGTTCCTCTCGAGACTATGTCTAAGAGTATATTCAAATATTATATGATGCCTGGCTTATGAACAAATCTTCATATGCGACTCAATTATAGTGAGAAAAGTCAAATGACTATGTCAATCCATAACTCAACTAATTTGCACTGATTGTTAGGGCCGCGAGACAAACCGATCAAGAAATGTCTCAAGTCATGAACAAGATCGTAGGGTAGGGTAGCTGCCTGCCCATATGCGCTGAATATGCGCTGAGAGGATGACACCATCTAACATCCCTGTCGTCGCTTAGAAAGCATAACCATCTCGGCCTGAGCCGGTGAATATCGTTGACGTCTAGAATTGCATTGGGGCCAATCAGAGTCAGAAGCGCGATCGCCAACACCCTGTCGTAGCGATCCAGGGACCTCTGATGATCGGTCTTTTTTTTTTTTTGCCTTCGGTTGCTCTTCTGCATGCTTTGAGTTGCCTTCGACTTACAAAACTCACATTTCTGCCCCCAGAAATTGTCAAAATGAGGTGTTTGCCTCTCCATGCATGCCTTTTGAAGCCAAAATGACACAAAACGAAGAATAAGATTAATGTAACTGGCCTTGTCACTGTGCCAGCAGACTTGTGATTCCGGTACCGACCCACCTGCAAGCGATCAATTGCGACTACACCCACTTCGGCATCAAGCAATCATATCCCACACATCTTCTGATATCTAGCTTGAACCTGGCATCCCCTTGATACCGTCTTGTTTTTATTCCTTGGGTTCATTCTCTACCGTCTGAAATCGAGCAGAGCCATGGACCCTCTCGTGGCCGCAGAACTGGAAAACTTCGACGATAGTGTGGCATTTCGTGCCCGGCCACAACACGTCCACCACACTTGGGCGCGCACATTTTCGTCCCTCCCAGAGCTTTTTATCCAACCCGAGTCTCTGCCTGAAGTTGAAAAAGTTGTGAATCTGGCACGAAGATGCCGTCGGCGTCTAGTGACGACTGGCTGTGGCCATTCACCATCCAATATCACTTGTACATCCAGCTGGCTCGTCAACCTGGACAACTTCAACAAGGTCCTTTCAGTGAACAAAGATACAGGTGTTGTTACCATGGAGGGTGGAATCAGGCTTTACGCCCTCTGCGAAGAGCTCGAGAAGCATGGACTCACGATGCCAAATCTTGGAAGCATCAATGAGCAGTCTATCAGTGGCGCTATCTCAACAGGTACCCACGGAAGCAGTCTACGCCATGGACTGATGTCCGAAGACATCCTTTCCCTGAAGGTGACAATGGCAGATGGAACCACAGTGTACTGCTCCAAAGACATCAAGACGGACCTTTTCAGAGCTGCCCTTCTTTCTCTCGGTGCTATTGGTATCATTACTGAAGTTTCCTTCCAGGCAGTTCCAGCCTTTACTTTGAAGTGGGAACAGAGCATTGACACAGACTGCAAGATGTTTGAGTCTTGGAATCGAAACCTATGGACACAGAGTGAATTTGTCAGGGTCTGGTGGTTCCCATATACAAGACGTGCAGTGGTGTGGCAGGCAGAGCAAACTGACGAGGAATACCGTGACCCCCCTCAGAGTGGATATGATGGCTCAATCGGCTACTATGTCTACCACAATCTTCTCTATCTTGCCCAACACGTTCCGCGAATCCTGCCATGGGTTGAGTGGTTTGTCTTCGGTATGCAGTATGGCTTTCGGAATGGAACCACTTCTTCAGCTGTTCAACCAAGCCGCAAAGCACTGCTCATGAACTGCCTATATTCCCAGTTTGTTAATGAGTGGGCTATTCCTCTTCATAAGGGCCCCGAGGCCCTCCGGAGACTGAGCTCTTGGCTCAACCACTTGACTCCTGCTGACCCTGATTACGTTCCTCACAACATCCCCTTCTCTGCTGACGGTCTTTACGTCCACGCACCCGTCGAGGTGCGCGTGAGCGACACCACTCTGACCTCGAACGTACGGCCATACCTTGATATTACTGTTGAAAACGGGCCTACGCTGTACCTCAATGCGACACTATACCGCCCCTACCTAATGGATCCTCCTTGCCACGAACGATACTACGAGGCTTTTGAGTGGCTGATGAAAGACCTTGGAGGTCGTCCGCACTGGGCAAAGAATTTTAGAACCACCCGGCCCGAGATTGAAGCGTTCTATGGCAAGCAACTTGAATCGTTCCGGTCCATACGCAATGATGCCGACCCTCAGGGCATGTTTGTCGGGCCATGGCATCGAGAAACAATCATGGAGAATGGCGAAGGTCTTGAGTTGGAAGAGGTTGAGATCCGAAGAGAGAAGAACCGCACAGGAGGTGTCACAACGTTTGGAATCATTTGATAGCGTAACCCGTCATGACAAAAGTCATGGGAATTAGATCTATCGCTTGCCACATGCCCCATCAAAAACGACTTCAATATCGGGAACTGTGATGTGATCTGGACCGCCTAGGCAGCATGCCGCACCCAGCCACTTGATGATCGAGAACGGGAATAAAGTATTAATATTAAAACCACTCGCTTGAAGTTGTCACATATCCGTCTGAAAGAGGAAGAAAAAAAAGGGATGCCAGTGTAGTGACTTCTAGAATGCGCGGCACAGCCCACCGATCACAGGTAACATTGTAAAGTGTTCTGCACTAAATTTGTCGGTAGCCGGCCTTCTCATCAATATGTCGGTACCGTTCGCGCTCTTTGCGATCCTTGAGCAGACATGCGATGCATAGGATAAAGATAGCATCGATACCTATATATGGGAAATTAGTCACTTGCGATATCTTGGCGCACAATTGGGCAAGAAATGGAGGTTTAAACTCACCAACGATTCCAAACAGAACAGTAAAAATGCTGTCGATATGGAGGTTTGCAAAACTTGAGATTGATGTCGCACAGCCACGTAGCAGCGCTGCACTTGCAGGGCTGCTGCAAGTCGAATCCATCACAAAAGCCGGAGTTGTACTGTTGAAATAACCACAACACTGAAACTGCAAGGAATCAAGTTAATACGTCTCATGGTGTCAGATTTCAGTGAAACGTACCGAGTCCTGGATCAAGCTCTGTACGTCTGGTTCTTGATCGATGTAGATATTGAAAAACTGCTCACTCATCCTCAACGTCATGACCCAGAGGAACACAGCCACGCACATGGTGAATATCGCGCACACTGTCACCATATATCCCGAAACCTTGAGAAAGCTTCGAGCGGGCATGACGAGTCCGGGCAGTGTGACCGCAAATGTGACGAGAATGAAAATGGCATTGACGATACCCGCGGTCAGGGGAAATCTTTGGTACAGCAAGTTCCTTGTAACATCCTCGCCATCAGTAGGCGCGTCCTTCATCTTGCTCTGTACGACCAGCGAAAAAACCAACTCCATGACACCCGAACTCAGGAAGAGAGCGTCGGCGACGACCGTCGAGAGAAAGATCTTGTCGACCATGTTGGTGATGCTGCAGACGATACGTAGTAAGGAACCGGCAAGGAGACTTTATAATTTGTTTAATTCGAGGTTTGATCTCTATATCGGTTATTTTTCGAGTAGATTCGCTAGGAGATATGGTTGGTAAGACGTCCAGCGCCTGGTATATTGAGCCTCGTCGAGAGGTTGAAATGAACGGAGAGAGCGTTCTCAAGAGATCAACCCTCGAGAACTGCAAGTATATTCAAAAGAAAGAGAGAAAGAATTAATAAAACATCAGGCGCCGAAGCGAGCACGGAAGTTCCGTTGAAGAGAATGTGTAGTGTAGTATTAAAGAGAGGTGAAAGACTACAATGACTCCCTGAGCCTACGAGAAGAACACGACAACGGACCGGCCCATGAACAACGAGTCACGGAAAAACCAAACGAGACCGAGACCAACAATGAAACGAGACTTCTATTCAAACGTCTCGGAAAACACCTGATTAATGACGAGTTCCGCTGCCAATGCTGTTTCAGGAGATGGGTTTTTGCCGCAGAATTGTCAACGGACCCCCTTGACGGTGGTACCATGAAGACACGGTGGCCAATCACAGGCCCCAAAAATGTGGTTGAATACCCCCTTTGGGACAATGGTCTCTGAAGCCAAGAAACTTGAGACTCGGTTAAAGGCCTAGAGGCCAACGACAGTGGCTTAGGATGATCGTAAAACCACAAAAGGGGAGTCGAAATGCCTGGGAGCCTGTTCAAACTTGTAGCAGGAGCCGCCAAGTTATCATTCTGATCTGATTTCTGGCGTGATCTTGTTTCTTTTACTCGCAGGATCTACGTTCTGACGCACAACCGCTTGTCAATAGGTTTCCAGAACATCAATCCCTCCGGTAGTTGGGAGATGCGATTGCCTGAAGCTAGGGGATATGAGGAAAGGTCCATCAAGGGGTGCCTTGACTGCTGCAACGCCTGCGGGTGCAAACCCCAGCCTGCCGGTAGCTCTTATGAGCTTAATCGTCCAGAGATGTCGATGAATACCTCTTGAGGGATGGTGTTGTGTTAGCCGAACAACCACATGTCAGCAGTTGGTATCCTGACAGAGAATTTCATATATTGAAAAACTAATAAATACCATCGCCATCTCGCACTTGGACACGGCCTTGTTGACGTAACGATCCTTTCTATCCCAGTCCTCATCCTTGGTGATGTCGTGGCATTACGTTCTCAATTAATCTGATGGCTATTTTGCTGTCGCCCTTCTGTGCGACCACGAGAGTATTTCTGCAAGATATAGCTACTACTTAGTGGACTTAGTAAGGTAGGGAGGTTCAGACGAACCGAACTTCACAACTGGGTTCATGTTCGCAAATTTCACGCTGAGCAATGGAGTATAAAGGATACCCTATCACTGATCTGTGCGTATTAATAGTGATATGCTTGCAGAGGAAGACGCGACGAAGTTTCTCGCGAGGATCAAGTTGGCAGATATCCGTATGCAATATGAGCCGCATAAAACCTTGCTGCCATTAAGCTGCACGTGAGAATGAAAGTGATCAAGTCTCGACGAATCCCTGAGATCAAAGGGAGGGCCTTCTGAAGCTTTTGCCTAATAGGCCTAGGTATTGGCAAACCAGTACCGCCAACAGTCCAAGCGCCAACCCCACATCGGCGACCTCTTGTTTTTTTCTTAGGTAACTACCTAGGTAGGTATCAGAGGAACTTTCGTGGCCCGTAGAACGATATGCTTTTGATCGTGCTCGAGATCATCGTCAGGCCTATCTCTGAAAAGCACGAACATTTGTCTATTTGAGTGGATATTTGTAAAGAGCAATCTGGATTTGGTATTCAGCCAACTTTGTTACTGACGCCACGCAATGCTACGATACCACTCTCACTGGCGTATCGAAAGATGATCTGGCTGACCACGTTCATAGCAAACATGGTTTGCATCACCAAGTGCCACGCTGACACTGTGCCATTCTTGGGGAGCTTCCTGTTCCAGCTAAGCTTGGTTTATGGAGGTGGAGGGGCCGTTCAGAACCTTAGTACATATGTATGTAACTAGGTAGCCTGAGCTTTGGCCTGATAGGATCCAATGGCTACCGCTCGCCGTTGCGTTGCTTGTCATTGGCAAGGTTAGCTCCAAGCACCTTGAACATAAGGTAAGGTAGTTTTCCCCGCTCGATGTACCCATGGACCGTGCGCTTAAGTTGCGAGTTGTGAGAACGGCAGCCTCTCTGACTGTCCCATCTTGGCCATCTGGTTGATGGTCATTCGCGAATTGCTTTGCCGCACCTTTCCTCCTGTGGGATCAATCCATTCTTGTTCCGTCTGTGCCTCCAGCCTTAAATGCAAGATTGAACTCTTACATGTGAGATCGAAGGATCAGTCAGTCTCAGGTATCAAGAATCCTATCCAACTCTGGGAACTATTGTCAATATTCATTCCTCACTGATACGGGCTCCCAACCACCTAGACTAACTTTCAGTCGCGCCCAAACTTGACGAGACTTGGTGCAAGTGACTTTACGGCATCTCATCATGTCAATAGGACTTTGTTCCGCACTTAAATCGCCCCTTATCGCGGAACAAACAGACCATGAAGCCGTTCCCCGCCACCCTCCCACGGAGCCGAGGTTTTGTCCACCAATCCTTGGGATCGCGCTGTACCCCTACTCCGTAGGGAGTAAGAAAACCTCTGATGCTAGGCTAAGGCGCCAAAAATACCTAATCTAAGGCCAACCAAATCATACCGAATTTACTCAAGTCTTTGTGTCATCTAAAGTAGAGGCCCTTAAGCTTTCTTGCATCCCCGTGTACTTTGTTGTGTACCCCCCCCCCCCCCCCCGCTTCACGTACCTAGTGGTGATGATCAGTGAACGAGCTATCAATTTGGTTGACACAAACGCTCCACAAGATCTTATGCTGTTCGAGACAACGAGACGACAGGGACGGTGTTCGTTCTCGAGCCCGTCAGCCTGTGCGGTACCATTACTGCCTGAACAACATTACCTGTATATCAGATCCAAAGTGGACGTTCATACTTGTGAGTTTGTCTTTCTATTGGAAATCGATGAAGCACAAACTTGAGCAGGCTCCCGCCAATCATATCTATACACCGTTGCGGCATATTTGCAGGCTAGCAGGATGGTCTAGATCAGTTTGAACATCCATCCCTGGTAGCCAGGGGATCCAGAGCCGAGGACTTAGGCCCGCCTATCCTGCGATTTCCATCTGTGTAAATTAATCAGCGACTACTCTGTACGGATAAGTCGATATAAAACTATTTTCATTTATACATTGGATTGCAAAGTAACTTCCAGCGAGAGATGTCAAACGAACGTATTGTTTTCGGTGGAGACTTGGGAAGCGATACGGAGAAGATTAACATGTGTTTGATGACATTTTCGACACTCCTCAATTCCCTAGACTTCTGCCTGTAGTAATCTGAATACCCAATACAAAGAACACTTTCTTCGTTCTCACTCATCGATTCATCACTGACCAAGCACCAGTTAGCCCCACTTGGTAAAGTGGATGATGCGACAGGTCGAGGCCCAGATAAAGATGCACGCGCGACAGGGGAGTAGCACGATGTGTCCATCGAAGACCGACAATTTGAGCCTTTCGTGTTCAGTTTGATCCCCAGGATGTTGAGATGGAGACACTGTGCGACAGATCTGCGCTAGTCGAGATTTGATTGTAAAAGGGAGGCTGGAGCTCGGGTAAGCAATCAGACTTTGCCCTGGTTGTTTGCTCTTTTTCTTTTTCTTTTTCTTTTTCTTTTTCACGTGGTTACTAGAACCTAGAGGGGTATATTGATCAGAACCTTTGTGTAAAAACTTGGGTTCGATCAAACATACTGCACTGACCTTGATACTGAGTACTGATGTTGGAGATGTGAAAGGCCTTCTGTAGTCGCAGCCACGCTATGGTTCGTCACGCGGCGGCATGCGTGCGGCGCAGAGGCCCACCGATTCAACGGCTCACGATATCCAGGATAGGACCGAGGGTCTTTGACAGGTAGGTATGTACATAACTACATACCGGAAGCATGTAATAACAGGTGCTAACTTAGCGGTAGGGCAGCACTGTGTCACTCGCTTGGAAGATGACCGGGCGAAGCGGGATCCCAGTGGAGCTTTGCCTGATGGGCCGAGTCGTGGACCACTGCACCCACATTCAGCCAAACTCTGTCCGTTACGTTCAAGGGCTGTTTGAGTATCGTCCTCTACGAAGTGACTGAGCATTTAAATGGCAATCCAGAAAGGGAAGCCGATAACGCCTTGCACACAAACATGTAACGGCGATTGCTTCCATCCTCTCCATAGTCTTCACGAGGATGCGTCAAGCGACGATCAAGAAGACGAAACAAGGCACCGTCAGGTACAGGACACGCCGTCCGTCATCACTGACGTCCCACCCTGTCATTTGTTGCCATCGACGAAGGCTCTTCTGCCTGAGATGGAGGTTGGCCGGTGTGAATTTGGTCAAGACCACGAATTTGAATGTTGAAATTTGGTGATTTTAACTCCGCGAGAAGATCGAAACAGAAGAACCCTGTTGATAACAGCGATTTGCAAACGGCTCCATTCGATCAGTGATGAATGCATCAATTGACGAAGACAACCGCATCAGTAAGGGTTTCTGGTAAGGTGTGACGATCTTTCATTGTCCACAGGATAGTCCGTGTGCAGGACGGCTACAACATCACTATCCTCGTTTCAATTGTCGGATCTTGATGACGCTGTTGATCGGATGTAGGAACGATATCCTCAGATACGATAGGCTGTCATGAACCAATTATCCATGAACAAAAGTTGTTCCAATACATAGGGCAAATGCATGTAATCGTTTGCAGAAACAATAAAGCTTGGTGAGCGATACTACAGCGATCACCATTGACGCATCTGTAATTTCCAATTCGGAGAACATCTATGAGTTCGCATTCAACACCTGCGCAGTCCAGATGAATTCGTTCACTCTTTCACCACAACTTCATTCCGATGATTCAAGCCCTTCAATAACGCAACATCCACAATTGCATCCGTTCTTACACACCATATTGAGCTCTGTAGCACGTGTAAAAGCTCAAGGCCCATCCCGTCATGTTGATTCTCACACGTCCTCTCACGAATACCCACCACACGCGTGCCACAGTCCACTCATGCAATCCCAGTCGCACCAGCAATGGCGCGCTGCACGTAGCAACCCACCGACGGCTTGAATCGCTGACTCCCTAACTCAGCAACAGACAGGCTAATTCAAAGACTGTGGTTGGTCAAAGCTTGACCTTGCATCCTTTCCACCCCGGCTCATCTTGTGCTCATTCCACTCGTGGATGGAGACTGGGAGCCCGTCCCGCTGCAGCAGCCAGAAGCTTGCTACGACTGTAGCTACCTTAGCACGTCGCATACCGGATGCCCCTCGTAAACTAGCAAAGCACAGCAAGCCTCACCCCGGTTACCTACCTAGACAGGCGCAATTTATTCATCGGATACTTAGTAGAAGACCCGAAATACCCTGCTGTTTTATCTAATTTATCCCTTACCCGCACAGGGCCAACGCGCACAGTGGGAGAAAAAGACCCATTTGCTCTTGTTCCCCCGCTCCATGCTCAATGCTCCTTCCCCCATCCGCCCATCGGCCTGAACCCTGGCAGTTGTGAGGCCTTAGGTTGGCTGGACTCTTGTCTCTGCAATCCGACCCACACCCTGTCATCTCCGCTTCCGGTCAAGCGTCTCGTCAAGCAGCTGTGGTGCTCAGCGGCCGCAATCATCTCTACCAATGAGCATCAATGTCTCTTTTGCTTAAGGTAAATTCCCTCGTCTTGTCTGCTTAGAGCAATGGTTCAACCCTGCCATCTCTCCTTCAACCCCTGCACTCTTTCACTGGGCTTTCCAACACGCGCACTTGCTCTTGCCTCGCCTGGCCTCGCCTCTTTCCCGTCCGCGCCACCCACGCTCTCCACAGTCCGCACCCAGAAAAAGGAAAGGCCCCCCCGACCCAAACCCAGACACACCCAGACCAGACTCGAAGCAGCAAACAAGCAAGAGCGTGCCCAACCAGGTTTCTGCGACAATTAAACGCAGAGCACCGCAGCTCCCTCCATTTTCTCTCCGCTCCCACTCCAGATACAGTATAGATCCATCGGCACCACGCTCAAAGCAGTATCTCCACCACCTTTTTTCGTTCTTCCTGTCGCGGTTCGTTCGTGGTAATACAAACAAGAGCTCTTCCTCTTTTGAGATAATCGAATCCAAGCCAATTTGAGACGAATATCGACTCGCAGACACCATGGCCGACATCACAGACCAGCACGACCAGACCTCTCCCACTGAGCTCGACGATTCACAGAACGTTGGCAATGGCAACGCCACTGAGTCTCGCGGCATCAAGCGCCAGCGTCCTTCAGCTGGCGACGACGACGACGACGATGACGAGAAGGGCAGTCGCGAACGTCGCAAGATTGAGATCAAGTTCATCAGCGACAAATCTCGCCGACACATTACATTCTCCAAGCGCAAGGCTGGAATCATGAAGAAGGTATGATTCAACCTCTCTACGATACCAATAACACCAGGTTTGCCATAGCAGCCATGATGCTTGACCTCAAGTTTGAAAGCGCGTGCAATTTGGACGCGCAAATTTGGACGTTTCCACTACACCAAAATTCAGCATCCATTGGTCTCTTCAACGCATCTTGGTTGCTGTTTAGATCCCCGTCGCGTCAAAACAAGCTCCCGCGTTTGCTCGTCGGCGCTGAAACTTGGCGCAACCCAATTCCTTGTTACACGGAAAGCTAATTTACATTCATTCATCAGGCCTACGAACTCTCTGTCCTCACAGGCACCCAGGTTCTACTTCTCGTAGTTTCAGAAACCGGACTCGTTTACACCTTCACCACACCCAAGCTGCAACCCCTCGTTACCAAGTCTGAGGGCAAGAATTTGATTCAGGTACGTAACTATTTGCTTGCCTGACATGGCAGATTCTGCCCCTTCATAGACCGTAGACTGATCGCGACCAGGCTTGTCTTAATGCTCCTGAGCCCACTCCCGGCAATGAGAATGGCGTCGATGGCGGCGACCAAGTCGAGTCTCCAGAAGAGCCACCTAACCAGCACCTCCCTCCTCAGGGCAACCGACCTGGGATGCCTCAAAACCCTCACATGCCCAACAACTACATGCCCAACATGCCCATGGATCCTCAGCAGGCTCTTGCTTATCAGAGCTACGTACAACGGAATCAGGCTTATGGCTCTGGCATACCTCCTCAACCAGGTATGCCTGCTAACAGCCATCACCAGTCATAAATGACGTCCGACTCCAAAGATCGGTCTTCGGTCAATGATACCCGGCGCTCAATGCTTTCTCGAGACGCCGCCTCTCGACCTTGCACGCCCCTCCTTGACACCAGAGCTGTCTTGTGAGGTCCCGGTGAAAAGGCGTTGGTTGGTGTTGATTTGCCACCTGCATTTCTCTTTGATTTTTGTTTTTTAATTTTTTGAAATTACATCAAGGCTTTCAGGCCACAGCGAAGTCTGACGAGCCTTTGAGCGGAAATATAATAATCGCATCTGGGAGCAGTGGGTTTACGGGCTGTAAATCCCATCCTCGCGACCACGAATAACTACACGTGTCGTTTTCGAGACCAACAGTTTGCGGCCAATGCTGGGATGACTCCCATAGCCAAAAATACTGCCAAGGTTTCTTGTGATCAAAGCTCCGTGGAAGCTCGTGTCTTGACACCGTAGGACATTTGCGTGTGGTGGAAGCATGTTGGAGTGAAGGGGTGTGGTCATTGAAGAGCACGAAGAGGCGCGTTCGGCTTGTGAATTACATCAGAGTGTTTGGGATGGCAGGGAATGGATGGGATGAAGGCACGAATGTTTACGGAATGGGTACTTCATGCAGATTTGACGTCTATCATGGGTCAAAAGAGACGAAGGAAGGATGCTTTCAACGCGGTCTTGCCGATCCGTTCCTCTTTTCGCATTGAATGTTAAATGTAAATATGTATTGAACTAGTGATGCTGACATCTCTGCGCTCAGGCGAGATGTTGCGAGTGGGTTATTGGAGTTTGGCCCAATGTATAAGTCAAAACCGGACTTTCCCCATATGGACATTCCACCGTTAAAAGGTTGCTTTACCCCAGATTTGCAGGTACAGGTCTTCGAAATATGTTGCACCTTATCGGGTGCAGATTGGATTCTACGCAAGGTAGGTTAACTTCAAATTTGGCGAATCATTCTTTTTGCTTAACTCCAGGTTCATGGTCTGAACCTTGAAAGGATTGAGGAAGGTTCAGGCTTGTCGGATGTAAATGTTGATGTAATGGATCTCTTACCGCTTTTGGAGAGTTGGTGGCATATGATTGGGAGGTTCTCTCGGCCGGTAAGATCGTGTGCGGCTGCGCCTACGGGAAAACTTTACTATTTTTGTCCTAATTTCTTTTCTTCTTTCAGCGTGTGCCTGTGGATTGACAAGATGAGATGACGTTGCATGAAGGAAAAGAGTACCTACGACAGAAGCGGTTTGGGGTCGGCCTTTTCCACTTTGGTGGTGAGGTGGGGATGAAGGATCATCTTGGCTTAGTTGGGATGAGTCGATAGATCATGCCAGAGTTGGAGGTGTAAGTGAGTAAAAGTTGGCAATGAGGTCTTGAGACGGACAGCAGATCAGTACTCTGTTAGGAACAGATCCGTGCTGAGGCTGCTGGTATCTCCTTTGGTCAGTGAGGATTCTGTTTCCCTTTACTAGGGAGCCGAATAACTCTACATGAACTCTGTGACCCTACATCAATCAGCACACTTCAATAGAAGATATGGTCATGTTATAGTTCGCTCGAGTAATATAGTTTCTATAAATAGTGGGAGGTGTACAGGCGGTCCAACGTTAGAAAGATAAACATAACCTTCCATTCCCACGCATGCTAGCCACCGTCAGTCTTGATACAACTGTATCAAGACTTACACTCCACAAAAATGATAGTAAACCACTTACTACACGAACTAGCCAAAGTTCTAGCATTACTTAATCGTAATAGGTCGGATATTGTCAAGGTTTGCAGCCAGAGGAGCTCTGGCTTTAACATCAAGCTGTGGATAAGGGTGGAAGGTGACGGGACGAGAACGACCATGCATTACAGAATAGAAGAATAAAATATAAGTGCATTTAATTAAGCGTGTGCTGTTTATTCCTATCCATCAAGTAACTAAATTACCAGCGGAACATAGCCTACGTATTACGTAGCGTATAGGGTCATTTGAACTATGACCTTGTTTGGAGGAAATATAAGATAGCCCCAAGTCGATAAATACACCCAGACCCGGTTATTACCGTAAGGAAAAATGATCTAAGTAATACTCATATAAGCATTGTCTATAGAGCGGCATCGAGGCGCAACATTACCAACTCTCCAGCTCATCCAAACTTGCAACGAAACGCATGCAACGCGCAATTGCCCACGATCCGATGAGAATACCATTTCATTATATGCAGAAGACCAAATTTAATGCAGACCCTGAATTTAGCTGTAATGCCTTTGCTTCATGCAAGGATCCGAAGAGCTAGGATAAGTGAGTTGCTTTACGTGGCCAGGAGCACGCGGCACGAAAGCCTCCCTCCAGCATCGAGACTGAGATGAATAACAAGTATAAACGAGCTGTAAAGGCATTACAGTTCAGCCCTTGGCAAGACGGCGGTAGAGGTAGTGAAGCTCCGGGTGATGAGTAGTTAGTTGTCGTTGGAGCCTCAAGGACCAAGAAAACTTCTGCCTTTAAATCAGCATGCCAAGAAAAACTGGTCTAACAGTTTCCTAGGATATACTATTTTCCTAAACCCTTTTTATCACGTAGAAAAGAGATCTGTTTTCTTGCCTCCTCCTACCAGGCAACAAGCTTAGCCGTGAGCCATCATACACCTTAACAAAGCGCCCTACGAGGATAGAGCGTTGCCGATATGGGCTTCTTCTTGGAAGGTTCTTTCTCTACCTATGAGGATCATAAGGCAACCCAGCACACTCGGCTACTCGACGGATATCGTCAATAAATCCTGGTCAGTCCATCCGAACGATACCAACGATGATGACAGCCTCAGAATTGGAGAGCGATCCGCCGACGGTTCTCACCCTACCCAAGCCAGATAGGAGTTCTGCAGCCGTTGTCTCTCTGAGGGTAATTTTATGTCTCGTTTCTGGATAGCGTGCATAGTGATGATGAGGACGGGTCTACGCCTAACCTTGACGACTTAGCTGCGTTAAGTTCTTCTGCATCTTTGGCATCTAGGGGAGGCCAGAATTATTAGGTAAGTTCATCTAAATCTGGGGATATCCCTCTTGACTGTCTTTAATGGGTTTCTTTTAGCAGCCTCCTCGGCATTTAAGATGCTTGCCTCTCGGTAAATCTGGATGGCCAGCAATACTGCAGGCCGCACAGCTCCTGAGTTCGCGTATGACGTGCCGATTTGCATTTCTCGGACATCCAGGACACCAATCATGATGTTGTGCCCCTCGTGAAACTCCGGTGTATTTGCGACAGTCTTCTCTTCCTACGAACAAAGTAGGTGCTTAGGTATGTATGCAGGCAATAAAACTTAGAATCTCCATCCTACCTATTGATAAAAAGTCTTAGGTAAACTTGGTGTATATTTAGTAGGCTTTGAACTAAACATTTTTGGTACCTTGATTTGCCTTATGTTGCAAGTTTTCTGGCGCCCATGGGGCTATGTTCGGGTGTTTCTGTCGTATGTACCTACTGCTCGTGCCACTAGTACCGCTTTGTCTTGGTCGTGTTTGTTGATGGTGAGCAGATTTGAGAAGGTTTTCGGCTTTCAAACCCCGCTGACGTACCGGTACAAAAGTGACATGCGACTTCACCTAAACGGCAAATGAAGTACTAACGCAGGGACTCAAAGCATACAGAAGAGCATCAATAGAAACGAGAGACAGAAACACCTGGTGACCTTTATTAAATGCTGTCATATAAACTTGGTCGTGTGCTCGTGTCATGCTGATTTCAATCGAAAACCTGAACGCCGCCCATTTCATCGCGAGAATTACCACCTCGTGGTATCCCGGCCTCATCTAATATCATTTGCTGCCAAAGCTCTGGGGATGTCTCTAATGCTCGACTGTTGGTATGTATCGACCGACAGCTAGACTGCCAACAAAGACACCAGCCAGGACGGAGAGGAAGTAGCCGACATTCATCGTCATAACGGCCAACATGCTGTAAGACAAAATTAGCATCTAGTAAAGTCATAATCAAGCTTTCGGGGCCATGCGCATGACATACAGGAGATATCCAATCCCGACGATCATGGTATCAAGGCATGCCCGAACCGGGTCAACACTGAACCTCCACGGTCTCGTCGCTGCTCGTTTCCTTTCCACGACGACGACGGTTTCTTCAAGGCCGTTCTCCGAGAGTGTCATGCGGCGCGCGTCCGGGCTAGAAGCTATCTGCTCCGACAAGGGGATCTTGCCATTGACAGCCACGTAACGGCGTGCAGCTTCGCGATCAAGCCAGCGAGCTTCCTGGACCGCTTTGAATGCGACAAGGGCGCGCGCAATAATAGCAAGCACGGCCAAGAATATACATGTTCCTGCATAGGAACCCGCATTATTTGGTGTCCACGAGTTGGCGTAGAGCGGCGTGCGTGTTTCGGTTTGGAAGACCATGGTCATAATGCTTGACCCGTGCGAGGATGACGAGGAGCCGGAGGAGGAGTCGCCCATATCCATGCCTGGCATGTCGTGCCTTGGAAAGTTCATGCTGATAGTAGTCGTAGTAGCAGAATGACGGTTCGCGAACAGCCCTGCTATTCGCGGATTATGGATAGATCGATGCCTTGGGGTGCACGACGGCTCTGGGTCCTAGCAAGCGGTTTCTGGACGTTGTATCGATGGAAAATAAAGCACAGGGCTAATAAATTCGTAGAATTTACAGTATATTGTGCTGACTGACTGTGGTGAAAGAATGAACAAATGGTCAGTGACAGAGGAAGAGGGTTGGGGTAGGGGAGGTGTATCGATCAAGAGGCAGATAATCACAGAAACGACCCGGAGATACCAGCTGCCATCAATCTGTTAAATTACATGTTCAAGGACTGCTTTTTGAGGCCGAAGGGACGATGTTATACTTTCTTGCTCAAATAAACTCATTTCTATGTACCAGGGTGCATTAACCGACGCATCAATGGATGTACCTATACTTAGCGAATGTACCGCTGACTGCCCCGCTTGAGAGTTCCCCTCAACTTGAACAACACCAGTCAACTACAAGTCAGTTTGAAGTTCTTCCAATTTGTCGAATCATCCTTTGACCAGGGATTCAACATTCATGATGTGTAATTGCAGCTTTAGCAGGTGATACAGAAGTCCAGTGCTTTCTCAAAGTCAGAATGTGAGCACCATTCTTATAACTGAGCAATACATCTGCTGCAGTGCCAATTCCTAATGCTGCCATCTGAGATTTCCACGACAAAGCAACCTGAAACAGCCTCGATTCGGACTCATACTATCCCGAGGGATGTTGATTGTGCCGGATGGTTCAAAGGAAAGTCCGATTGTAACAGCTTAGTATCAAGTTCGAATGCTTATTCGCCGTGATCCTTCTTCCCTGTAAGATATTTTCCGAGCTGGTACTGGTTCATGGTGATACTTCTATGACAGCGTTGCTCATATACAAGGGTACGCGCTCGATCACTCACATCCCTAAATCCGGCTTTTACTCTTTGCTTGACTTGAGGTTGATGTGCTTCAAGATCAGGTAGTGACTTCACGCTTGATGATATTGGCTCATTACCAATCATTTATAGTCAGTATTCCAATAGCACCCTATCATAGTGCACACTCCCCATCGCAGGCCTAGATGACCGTCTATCAGAGCCTCTGTACATACTAGCAGGACTTTTCGAGAGCAAATTGATGCTGAAAGTATAGGAATTCTCAGAGAAAATGCAATGATTTATGTTCTCCAGAATCTCTAAAGACCGCTGTTCACCCAGATGGCCACGGAATACCACTAGTAACTCATCACTTCGCGGTATGATAAATAAAGATAGACACGGCTGAGTGCTAAAGATTCCAGCAATAAAATTAGGTCATCACGTATGCGAGATCTCTACGAAAGAGGCTTCTTGGAAGATGCCTCCATTCCGAGGAGTTTATCGTCTCGCTTCTTGGCTTGACAATATCGTTTTCGACGACCTTCACTGTCTAAGGGCAGTTCATAAGTTCTGTGCTGTTGGAATATACTTAAGTTGAGATATTCTCTTCATATTTCCTCGACGTGTTCATATCTATCCATGTCCCGTAGTTGCTACAGAACGGCCAGGCTTGTCTGCATGGCTTTATGAGGCAAAGGTGCTCGACAATTACACAGTGGATATGAATTACCAGAAGGAAGCAGACGTTAATGCCTGGAAGTCGCCCAGTCTCAAGAATAATCCCCAGGACATAACAATGAACCAGTGACACCGTTGCTCATGCCATACATCTCGCGATTACCTATCCGGCCAAATCCTCCAGCTTCTAGCCCCCCATCAGAAATATGTCACTGAAGGTTGGCCAATATGCTCGACGTGATAGTAATGGAGGTTATGATATATATGTTGGCTGGCAAAGCTGAAGGTCAAGGCTAGACAACTGTTGCATTGGCTCCGCACATTCGCCTGTGCGATGGCAGTTTTCTGTATACCTCTGCGATCCCCTCCCATCGTTGCCAAATATTGAGAAATATTTTCAGATGCTGTGATTGAATTCGATCAATTTAAAGTAGTCTGTGTTGGCTCCAACTCAGAAATCGTGAGACCTGACAGATGGACTCGGAGGTCACCTGCGTGGAGGAAACACATTGACTCAGAGGATTCAGTTGCTAATGACCTTGATTTCAAAACACCTTCATACAAATTTGAACGTGAACTCATTCTACTTATCTCGTTATTGTTCAACCGTTCTTTGACTTTACTTTTGAAGTTCGTGCGTACGTGAATGACTTCCACCAAACACACGCTTACCTACCCTAAAGCACAAGAGGGCAAAGTTACCAAGACAAATCCCGTGAACTGTCGTGATTCTCCGAGTGTTGTTGTTATTGTATAGAACTATTACGTATGAATGCTCGCAATCCTTCTTTGATTGAAACAGTAGGTAATAACCAATGTTTGATATTCGGATGATGTCTTTTCTATGAGTTTTGTGAGATGTAAAACTTTGGTCAGTCTACACGTTTCTTCACTTGCCATGCCCATCGTATGGGGACAAACATGCTGAGAGCTGCGGTAGGCGTAGGTTCTGCCAGAACACATTGATACCCAGCCATCGTTCCACATGAGAAGTCTATCGAGTACCCCAGAAGCTTCAATTGACTGTATCTGCTTTTCTTATCCAAGGGTATCGTATGGCAGTGCTTGATACGCAGATTTAGACGATTCGAGAATACACTGTCTCGGTTATCTTTCAGGACTTCTCACGAACTGGAAAGAAATCGAGAGTAGCTGGTTCGGTTTCTTTTTGAACAGAAAAATACCCACAGAATTCCTTTTGCTCGTGAATTATTAATCTACAAATGGTAAAATGACCTTTCCCTTTGCCTTGTCAAACTTCACCAGAAGGATTGCGCTGCTTTGTTGCCATAACGTGCCTGACAACAAGCAGATTCTAGGTCACCGTGGGGCAGTGAAATTGAATGTATTTGATGGCGTTATTAAATCGGGTGTCAAGGTCAAACCTCCGAACTTGACAGTCCTCGCGCCTCCGGAGCATTATATGCATTATCCAGACAGAAATAAATCCGAGATCTCACATTCGCGAAAACAGTGGTTAGTCGCAAGGACTTCTCTCATACCTGGTTGCGTTGCTGGTGTCATGGCCTGTCTTGTTCGTGAATATATGTCACTTGCCGGCATGAGGTGTTGGGGGAGACAAGAGGCAGGTAATCACTTCCGGCCGGTACTACGAAGAGATAGGAGAGCCATTGTGCTATGCGTATGCTTACTGATGAGCGTATGATCTTTTAATGTGTTACGTGTGATATCCAAGCAGCACCCGGCCAAGGACGGTCGTTGTGCCATCGTTCAAAGTTTCCCACGGAGCTGGGCTCAAACAGAAGGTAGGTAAGGACGCATCATATTAGAAAGCTGCCACGAAAGTATTGAATGAAAACAAAAAAGTAGACAAAGACATGTTTCATTAGACAGTACAGCGTTGCTCTAGGAAATCCGTGTGTGTTGGGTGAATCAACATGCCAGTCGAGATCCGAGGTCGGATCTGTCTGTGGGCTGCTCGCAAGATTCTATTCATCTCAGCGACACCGCTCAAAAATAACAAGCTCTCAAACCATTACGACTGAATGTACCATGGTAAGGAAATACTCAGAAGCATGATAGTAAGTGTCCCACACATGGAATATGCCTGTTGGACTACAGCTCCGCACAATGTCGTTGAGATGTGCCTTAGACATGCAAGGCCAAGCAAGCGAATGTCCATGCCCATGCCCTAAGCCGGCGCTTCTGGTTTGATGTAAATCCTTTCGGCTGTTGACCAAGAAAGACGACGTGTTCGCTTCACTGGAAGCCGTTCTTCGCCTGACATCACGCAATTTGACCAAGTCTTCCTGAGTGCCCTGCACCAATAGTTTGGAACGGTTCTTATGCACCGATCTAACCGAGACTCTGACATGAAGAGACAATCATCTTGAACTGGTTCAGCCGCCATCTACGACATTAGAACCGGGACCGGAAGTGGTGGGTGCTCTCCTCAGCAACGATGACTGGGAGCGACCAAAAGGCTTATTGACAAACAAGTCTACATGCATAATAAACCCTGCGATTATTGGACTCGGTAAGTTTGGATCTACCAAGTAAGCGACAAGGAGTATCGAATAGGTAGTTATGCTCACCTCGTCCTCCAACCACTCTCACAACCCACACACTCCGTAGGCGCTCGGGACAGAGGCAGGTTGCCATTACGAGCTGAAGGCTTCACGGCAGCAGGCATCGCTCTCGCAGGCTGTGACATTAACAGGGAGTTTTCACAAACTTATGTTCTCGCTAAGGAAGATACGAGTTGGCTAAACATGTCGAAATCCAATTTCCCCACGCTTAACGGAGATGTGAATCAGCATACAGACCCAATGTTATAAGTGTTGTGCTAAATTTAAATGAATTGAATACTTCAGTGCATGGGATGGCTGCATGTGGTCCCCGAAAGTTGGATGTCAGCTCGTACACACAGTGGAATTCGCAAGGCGCGGCTCCAGCGCCGACTGCTTTGGCTTACCGGTGCCGTGAAAAAAAGAAAGTCTGCAAATATCCATGGATGGATGTCTCGACAGGGAGTAAAATTTGGATACCCAATCATGAGCGGCCGCCCCTGACGAGGGGTGTGCATTGGTTATCATATCCATCTGCTGTCTCCTTTACCAAATTGATGTCTTGCAACACTTCCGGACTCCGCCAAAAGGTCGTGCTCACCTCCGGTAGGTTTTTTGACAGAAGCAGGTTTGAGTCTTTGGCAATTTGATATCGTATGAAAGCCACTCCAACGTCTTGACTAAACGACTAAAGAGCTTTGGGTAACTTAGCCTAAGGGAAGGGCTTGGAGACCAAACGCCACCAGGAACGATCTGCGCAGGGATTCATTCTCTATGCAGATCTGTGCCATTTGCGGTTGCTTGGTGTTGGAACTTGGAAGAGATTGCTCCGCCGTTGCAACCAGATTACCTAGGACACGGCTACGGACCCCGTTTAGAATCTGACGTTATGTTGTAA